TACTGGACCCCGGGCTGCTCCCAGCAGGGCTTGCAGCATCCCAGCTGCCTGCTGGGAGCAGCCCGGGATCCCGGCTGGCAACTGCTACCTGGAGCTGGGGCCGGATGCAGCCGGGAAGTTCCAAACAGCTGTGCCAAGCTCATTGCCTCCATGTGGGGAACGCGGGAGAGACCGGAGCTGCGCTACCTCAGGCCCCGCCCCCACCGCCCGCTCCGAGGCGCGCCTGCACGCGCCGGCGCAGAGCTGGTGTCGGAGCTGCTCAGAGCCCGGCACAGCTGTTTGGAGCGTCCTGGCTGCAGCCGGCCCCAGCTCTGGGAGCTGCTGCCAGCCGGGATCCTGGGCTGCTCCCAGCAGGCAGCTGGGACGCTGCAAGTTCTGCTGGGACCAGCCCAGGCTCGTCGCTGACAGCAGCTTCCCGAAGTCGGGGCTGGCCACGGCGTGCCAAGCAAAATGGCCTTGCGTGCCACGCTCGGCACATGTGCCAGGGGTTGCTGATCCCTGCCCAAGGGATCCCCTAGGCAACCAAGTGGATAGACACATGGGCAGAAAGAGAGAGAGAGAGAAGGGGAAAACAGACAGTCCAAAAAGAGGGGGCTGGGATGGAGTTTTTGTCATATACCTGTGGTCCAGTCATAGGTGGAGTCCCACCAGGTCTCCATAATCACTATGAGATCTTATTGCTTGTTGTTGGTTAGCAGGAGGGCCGGTTCCTTCTGCTTGTTTCCCATGCTTCTGGCGTTTGCGTACAGACACCTAAGCCTGCCATTAGAAGCCCTAGGATTCCTGGTGTTACTACTAGGATTTCTTTTTGCCAGAGCCCTCCAAGGATTACACTGCAACTTTTCCAATGTGGTATCAATTGAACTTTAATAGTAATCCCTAGACCAGGATGGTCCAACACGGCCCATGGGCCACCATGCGGCCCTGCCAAGGCATTTTCTGAGGCCCACAGTGCTGCAGTGGGAAACGAAAGTAAACACTGTTTACTTTTTTCCCACTCCTTGTCCCTCCCCTGTCACCTCAGCAGCTTCCTAATGGCTGCTGAAGGGCTAGGGAAGGGACAAGGTTCCCACACGCACCGTGTCAGCTTGACGTTGCTGACGTGCATGTGGGAAGAGGAGTAGCCATGTGCCTTTCAGGACAGGATGAGCCCAGCCGGAGCAGCAGGGGCTCAGCTGCACTTTCCCCCTTCCTGCGCTGGTCAGTCCCGAGTGGCACATGGCTCCACTGCCGCCTCTGCTGGCTGGTGCCGACCCAGGTGGGTCTGTCCCATCCAGAGCAGCATGTGGCTGAAGCCAGATTCCCACGTGCTGCTAGGGATCGGAGAAGGCCGGCCAGGTCCCGTCCCAAGCGCCACTGGGCGCCGCTGCTGCTTCTGCTGGCTGGTGCCAACCTGGCCGGCCTCCTCCCGTCCCCAGCAGAACATGGGAAGCCAACATGGGGGGCCTCGGCAGGCGGGGTCGTGGCGTGACCTCTGCGGGGCGAGGTGGGCGGAGCCGGGGGTTGCCTG